CCCCTTCCCCTCTTTTTCAGATTTTGTGAGTGTTTGCCCCAAACCATATATGACTAATATTTGCCATGAAGTCCCTTTTACTAGATTCTTTGTAGAAGATTTGATGAAGATGTGTCAGTCAGCACAACATTCACGTGACTCCTTCTTGCTTTAAGTGCTAATTCCCTGTATTTGAAGCTTCAGGAAAACATTGGATTAATTACTGTCCTGTCCCTCTTGGTGAACGAGTACAAATACAGGCTACAATCAGCAAAGGGGAGGTGAGGAGGCTCTGTGCATTTCACCTATGCAGATCAGCCAGTGCTCCTCAAATTTCAAATCCTAATGATCTTTAATCATTTAATCCCTGACCCAAATCAGCTCCACTGTACTGTTTAAATCCGGACTTCCAACACCAGCCTCTGTCATCTTTGCAAGCAAAATGTGAGTAAAGAACATCTCTAGTTCTGGACCTATCCTTTTACATCTCATCCTACAGAGTGAACTTTCAGCTGTAGGAGAATTGGGTTGAATCACCAGCTTCTGTAAATCAGTGTCTCTTATTATGGCCATTGTGCTGGAAAGGACTCAGTCCTGTGATTCCTGCTTGACACCATGGCCATTCCATGACAAGTGTTTGAGCTTCTTGAATGTCTTCTAGATACGCAGAATGGTTTATCACCTTTTACACATGCAATATGTATTTCCTCTCCAGTTTGGCTTTCCATTCTAATGCTGCTGCATCATTGCGTCTTCTCTTTGTTCAATGTAGTCTCCCCATGGAAGCAGAAATTCACTATGCAACAGATCTTTTTTCCCTTTTACTTGTTGTAATATAAAAGAATTATTACTCCTAGGCATGGTTTTCTTCCCAATGAGAGTTTTGTCATGATTTCAAATGGATTTGGCCCTCAGCTCACATAGCAGGGGTAGCACATATATTTGGAACTCAAGTAGGCATGTGAGAGAGCGAGCCACATGCGATATTTCAAATAAATCTCACCTGAGAATGCCAGGAAATCAATTAAAAAAAAAAAAGCAGAATATAAATTTTAAAGAGAGTGACCTTGCAGAGAATTATCCATTTGCTTATCCCTGATAGGACCCATTTCCTGGTGTCGTTCCTGTTTCAGAGGCTGGGGAAAATCGCAGGCACGTCCTCCTGTGATGATGGTGCAGTGACTCCTCACTCACACACCCCTTTTCCCTGGGGCACCTGAGGACAGCCACTCCCTTTTGAACACACAGCAGGGAGGCAGGCTAGAAAGGAGCCAGGCATCCTTTCCCCCTAGCCTTTTGGCTGAGCTAATGAAAGATGCAATGTGACAAGAAGTGTCATATGTGATCAGATAAACCTATACAATGTTGTTGCCCCTGCTTGACTCACCATCAAATCCCTCACTGGGATCACCAGAGTCAAGCACTCCCTTGTGCTCCTGCTATAGCGATCCGGCACTCTCCCCACCCCATGCTCAGCTTGCTTCACAGCTGTGCCCAGATGTGCCTCTCACAGAGGAAGAGTGGAGGAAAAGAAGCTGGCCTTCATCCTGCCAGTGTTTGAGGACAGGGTTTTCAAACACGTCTAAAGAATTTGAGTGATTGTTCTTACTTGCTTTTACTTGTTGAAGCTCCTCAACGTTCTATATAGCCCATCAGGTTCTGGTTGCTACTTTTCATGGCCTTCAGCAGCTAAGTGATTTCAATGGTTTTACCCTGGTTTTCTAAAGAAAGATGCTCATTTAGTTACACTGTGGGGGCGGAGGGAAGTTTGTTTTCTATGCCTTTGGGGGGTATATTTTTCTCTGCCTGGTCTTTGGAACTGTTTGGTTGGTGTCAAACAAGCATCCTAAGAGCAGAGGTACCTTCGCTATGTATTAAGTTCTTCAATGTTTTGTGAAATTTGGCAGTGGAAGGAGAAGATAGTCAGCTTGTGGTGTCTCTTCAGAGACCTCACACAATCTCTGTGGGAGATTCAACCCACAGGTAAGTAGGTGTTCTGCTTCTTCCATGAGTGGTACAACTTCTTTTCCAGGTGAACGTGTGGCTATTTTGTCTCATCCTGAGCTAACATGTTAGAAAAGTGGCTTAAGATTTTATCTGTCCTGCTTTTCACTAGGCAGAAGGCGCTAAACTGAACTTCTCCCATAGGCCTTGATTAAAATTCAGGTAAGCTCATTAGCATTCTGAAGTCTAGCTACAGCATGTGTGCGAATCACAGCCTAAGAATAGATTGGTCTCCCAGGTCTCCAGCCTGTTGCTAGAGTATCCCTTGCCCAGTTGATGGTTTTGGGCTGATTCTGCAGTGGGGGAGCAGGACCTGGTAATCTGACAGCTGATAGAAGCCTTGAAAAGACATGTATTTTCCACCTGTACTCCGCATGATTTGTTGCTAACATCACTGACAAATCCCTAGCCAGGGGAAAAGGTTATTCAAAGCTTCAGCGCTCAAGAGATTGTTCAGTTTCATGAATTACTTGAGTCATTTTAGCTTCAAAACTGCACAAAATTCTGCTTGGTCAGAGGAGAGAGTTGTTGTCAGTGGGGGCAGGTGACAGAACTTTTGACTATATTCTTTCGAGAGGCTAGCCAGACTCGCTTTGGACAAGTAACCTGTGTACATCCTGCCGTGGCCTTTGCTGCATGAAGACCATCGGTTTTAAACACAGAAGGGGCTCCAGGGGCGTGCTGCAACTCTTAAGGCAAGGAGTGAGTGAAGCAGTTCGGCTGTTCTGTGGATTTTAATGGAGGGGAGCCACTGTGGTGAGGCCAGCCTACAACCAGGGCTTTTGTCTGTGCTTCTCTAGCCCTGGGATCACTGTGCACACCCTGCAGCTGCTCGCCTAAGTTTTACCTGTTGACTTTTTACACTGTCAGCAAAACTTTCAGCCTGCTGTGAGGCATTAGTATAGAGAAGACTTTAGTATACAAAATACAGCCATTTTGCCCAGAAAGTTTATAAGCTATATCCATAAAAGGAGCAAGAGGAGAGAAAAAGAAAGGAAACGTTGCTGCTGTTGCTGTTTCTGCTTCAGTAATACCCAGGCACCCTGGAAAGGGCTCCAGTTCCCCGCCGCGCAAACACCCAGCAGTTTCCCACACAAGTGATGCGTGGCTCGCTGGCAGAACTGAGCCGCCCCAGCCCCATAACCCTCCAGATTTACTGGCCGAGGTTACGAGTGGAAGGGGTGAACGGAGCATCTGTGGATATTGTTTGTTCCAACAGCTCCTCCCATAGAATGTATCTGGGCTCAGTTGTCAGGTACAGTCAAAAAAAAGCCTGCAACTGTCAAAGTTGTAAAGAAGTACAATGTCTGGATGGCAGGACCCATTCCATGCAGTGGGCACATCTGGCATCTAATACAGTGAATACTTCATTTTATCTGAGGCTTTTAAGTGCAGCCATTGCATGCAGCGTCCATAATGAATTCAATTCATAAAACCACTAATCTGGGCCTGCTCTAGTTATGAATTCCATATTATTTCCATATTTCTTTAATCCACAAAGTCATTAACAGAGCTCCAGAAAGTCATGAATATTTTCACCCTATTTGGCAGGGAGCAGATACTCTTTCAGATGAAAGGTTACAAGGAGCCACTAATGTTTTTAATTATAGAGTGCTAGGTACAAGTTATTGTGAAAGTTAAGGCAGGGCTAAATGCAGTGCTGTCTTCAGTGGCTGTTTAATTCATCAGCATTGTAAATAAGGGGGTGCAGAAGACTAAAAGGAAAATGTGTGTGATCTGAACACATGTGCCCTACTAGCTGAAGCTGAAACAAACACAGAAGTCCAAGAAAACCCTCTAGCAGGCACTGACCTCTGTCTTCCTAAAAGAAGTGCACTGTAATAGTGCAGAGGAGAGATGTTCTCTTTTATATCCTTGTCCCACAGACACAGGCCCCCCTCTTGAGCCCGTGGTTCTGTCCATGGCAGAAAAAACAAACCAAAAAACAGAAAACAAAACCATCTCTAAGTGATGCAATTTGCTCTGTAATCAGGGGTTGCTTGTTTTGCCTATGACTTTAATTTTTCACTCACATCAAAATCAGACACATTTTTAGTGCTCAAGGTGTTGTCCCACCTGATACATTAAGTATGTCTTCAGAATAATATCTTTGAGGCAGACACTGAATGCTGATGGAAATGTCTGAATTATTAAACTATCTCCTGCACTTATTTAGTAATTTCTTTAACACTTCCTTTGCATATTTTTTTCCCCTTTCTTTTTCTGAAGTGTGTATTGTCTCTACAAACAATGTGTCTTATGCTAAGGTTTTGTGGGTACGACTGAGGCCTTCTGAGTCAGAAATTCAACAGTAAACTGAATTGCAAAATGTAGCCTCAAAGGATATTAACCTTATTATTATCCCTTTTTGTTATTTTCTGTTACTGCTGTAATTTCCTAATTGATTCTTCCTTCACACTGAAAAAAAAAATAAATCTACAGATAAACAAAAATAACACTTGGAAAGGACGACAAAGGAAGCTGCAAAGAAACAGACATCATATGTAGACAAACATCCTCCTACATAATGAATAATTGGACATCGTCATTGTGTGGATTTCTCCTTTTATTAGTAAAACGTCTTTCAAAGGAAATGCATATGCTTGTATGCTAGAAAGAATATTTGGACTTTAATGGTGGTGTGGAACAAAGGAACAGTAAAATGCTAGTGACAGAAATGATATCTCTTTTAGGAACACTAACCTCTCTCAGAAGCTCTGAACCTGGAAACTTTTGCAGCCAAACGAAATGTGAGTGAAGAAATTTTTGAATTTGTTTTGGGGGGGAAAGAGAGAAAGAAACAAAACTTGTGAGAAAAGCAGTTACTTTCTGCAAAATACTGATTTAGTTCAACATTCAATGGAAATAGTTTTAGCCATGAAGTTTTCAGCTAGCCCTGCTTCTTAATGCTCTCCAGAACCAACGCTGTTCAGAATGATCAGAATAAGGTATTTTAAAAGAGTGCTGCCTTTGTGTGCCTGAAACATGCAACCCTTAGCAATACACAGGTGTGTAAAGTGGATGTTATTTTATTTAAGCCAGTGAGCTATGTGCTGCTAGTTCAAGACCCAGCCTTGTGTCTCTGAGGGCCTGACCCAGCTCCCGGGGGAGTCCCTGAGAGCTGCCTTGCGATAGAAATGTGTTATTCTGCTCTCGTGTGATCCCTGCTTAGAAATAGCCATCGGCAGAACTCCAATGCCCAGTGCTCGCTAACAGATAGGAAGGAAGCCCTCTAGTTAATAATAGATAACCTAAGCTCAGCTTCTTCAAAGCACAGTGCAGACACTTTGAGCTCCAGCCTTGCCAACAGCCGGTGGCATGGACGGAAACCGCATCTGACTAAATGTGCTGATATTTGCTCTCAGCCCTTGTCTTCAATCTGGAACTGGATCCACACCCAGGGATCCCTTCCACCTGGAAACTCTATCTCTAACAGTTGCGCCAGTGCTATTCTTGGAAATACTAAAGCCTATTTTACAACCAATTAAAAAATTTGAGGAAAAGACTGCTCTTTTTGTCTAGTTTTCTAGAGAAGAAAGACCACAGGAAATGTAAAGTTCACTAGTGCCTTTGTGTACCGTCATAAAATAATAATAACAATGGTAATGCTTTATAATAATGATCATAATGCTTTAATAACCTCCTGTTACACTGATGAAAGTCTAAAATGCTCAGTCATGGATCATGACCAACTTGAGATATGTGCTTTATGAATGAAAACAAATCAACAATATGCAGGAACCTTTACTAGCATGGAGTTTCTGATGTTGACTTCTTGACTCCCTAGTCAGTAAAACAATTTAAACCTTCTAATTCTTACTGTTGGTTTGTCCTTAAAGTGCAAATAAGGAGCTTACACATGCCTAGCCTGTTCACTCAGAGTCATGGTGGGCTAAAGCATCCCTGTACAACCACAAACACATTTTTAAAGCATCCATAACCTCATGGGGGTGATAAATGATTCACATGCTGGGGCCAGGGTGATTCTTGCTGTTTAATGACATATATGGGAGGTGGGGTGGTGGTTCTATTTTTAATGCTTTTGACATTAATAAGATCTTTATAATTGCAGCTTTTCAACCGTGGATGACTAAAATTTGACTCCTAAATCTGTGTGTAAATGTCTAAGGGAAAGCAGGCTGGCTGGAGGTACCCTGTTCTCTCTGATGTGTGAGAAGGCTAGATTCCCAAGCACGTAGATAGGGCTGTAACTCAAAGGTATTCTCGCCTGCAGTGGTCACCAGAGGAAACAGATAAAAAGGTTAAAAATCCAACTTCAGACTTCAGTAACCCTGTAGATAATCACATTTTTATGGACTGTCATACAAGTATGTAAAAGCTTGAAATACGCAGATACAGAGGTAACTGGAGGTCAGAAGAGTGCCCGTTACAGGCAGAACCTTAATTTGCTAAAATTCCAAATTGCCTGAGATATCTAAATAGTGTTCAGGGTGAGGATTCAGTTTAGACAAGTAATTTGCAAGGTGTAATATATTAGGTAATAAATTTAACTTTTCTCATAAACTATCTCAGCTGCCACATTCAGGGGAGCATGATTCAAAAACCTGAGATATTGGTGAAGAGTTCATTTTTCTATAAAGCTGCAAATTGCGCAGTGCGTTCTCAATAGTGTTGATTTTGCTGATACATCCCCAACGTTAGCAGTTGGCAACCTGAAGCGATGAGCAAAATCAAATACATGTATTTATCAACTAATAAGTGTATTTCCAGCTCCTGGGACATCTCAGGCAGGGACAGCTGAGGCTACAGAGTCTGAAATTTGGGATAAATAATGGAACACGTACAGAAAGGGAGGTACAAATCAAAATGAATGTTAACAGCAAAGGCTGCATAATCGTAGTGGATTTCACTTAGTTCAGCAGGACTGGATTGCACTCTGATTAGCTTTCCCCAGACAGCAGTACACAGGTTCAGTATGTTTATTTAGCTCCATTAGAAATGTGAAGTGTGGACGTCACTGGGATCATCCAGGCCTACCTACAGGGCTTAACACCGTGTTCTATTATCGACTGCTTTTATTGCTCCTTACAGCCTATCTCCCTTTCTCCAGTGCTACATAACACATAAGGCTGCATTTACATTTTCTGAATGGACTAATCATGGCTCTCTGCTTTGATAAAGAATGTGCAGCCTCCCACATAACCACATGGAAGCCAACAGGGAAGAGTAAACCAGAAATAAACCCGTTCTAGGGGGCTGAGAGAAAAATACCCATCGAGATAATTGGGAGGGATGTACAGAGAAGAAGCAACTGAACACATAGTCACATCTTAAAAAAATTATAATGCTAAAAATAACCAGATGAAGGACAGCAAGAGAAAACATGATTGAAGCGGAACAATTGGTAGAGGAGTTAATACTTATTAGCAATCATTTTAGATTGAATATAGGTTGGTTTTGTAACAGCACAAGGAATGATGCATATGACAGGACTTAAACAATTGCCTCCCTCTTTCCCAAAGAATCCAGTTAGCAGCACCCCGGCACAAATTGATCAGTCTCGCATGCTCCTAAAGAGTTCGCCAAAGCAAATATAGTTACTAAAAGTTTTTATTTGTAAAATACAGTGAAATTAGATCCCAAACAAATTTTTCAAAATCTTTCCTCCCTATATTCCAAACCTTAATATATTTTAACATTTAGCCTATTGCATTTTCTCCTGTAGCCTTAAAAAAATAACCCTGAGAGCTCAAAGTTCCACCAGTCCTGTATCTCTTCTCCAGTGGTATCCAAAAGCTATTGCCCGGGCAAGAGCGTAAAAACAGAGTGAGTATAGATGATATTTTTGCAAGGACTCTCCCATCATCCAACTGTTTGCATCTTAGATATTGACTGAGCCACGGTGGTTTCTATGCATTTATTAACGATTAGTGGGCTTTTCCTTTAGAATTGAAATTGCCTAGTGTCCCCTTGAACCTAGGTCAACAACATTTAGGAACATTTACCATCCACATATCCTGTGGCAAGAAGCTTTGCAGCTAAATTATACGTTCTGTGAACATACTCCCTGTCCTATATCTCCTGGCACTGAAATGTCAGCTATGTGCATGTGAGAAAGCAAACACTCATTTCCAGATTTCTTAAGTGTTCAGAAGAAATTTGTGCACAGAGGGTGAAATTGAAAAGCAGCTATTGTGAAAGTATTATAAGGTTCATGAGCCAAATCCATCTTGCTCATATCTGAAGAGCCACAAATACTTGTGCATTTGAAGATAAGCATTTTCAAAGTTCCTTGTTTTAGAGAATTTGTATGTAATACTCGTTAAAGAATATTGCTAATGAGAAAAAGGGTACGTCTAGCACAAAGGTGTTAAAGACAATCAAGTAAATTCTTTGTAAAAATATAGAGTATAGGGCTTATAACTTCGTTCCACGGCTTCTTTCACACAGTGGAAACTAAAATGTCCAAAGTTTTCCAAGTAATGTGAAATTCTGCTTTCTTCTGGAGGAAGCTTGATTTTTGTTTCCATCCAAATATTCCCTGCAGTTTCAGAGGTAGCTTCAGACGATAATTCCATCTAATAACTTGGGTGCCAAGGATGAGAAAGCCCAGGGGTAAGCCAGTTCAAACCTGGTCCTCAAGGTTTTGGCTGTTACACAGTGTAGAATCTTACCTGTTCAGTATGATTAAAACAACCCATTTGGTAGCAAGGGGTTTTAAAATATGGTGATACCTTATGTGTTTTGTTTTTTTTTTTTAAATCCAGTGGTAAACACGGAGACGCAGGAGGTAATGATACTTTGTGAGAGTAAGTTCTACTGTGGAAAGAGCAGTTCTCTGTGGCATTTTGAGACGCATCAAAATGTAAGTATTGTAAGCTCAAATTTGAATTCCAAAGTTTAAGTAAGCAGAGCCTGGGAGGGTGGAGATTTTAGAAGAACACCACACAGGAAATCTTACTTCACATGCTAGGCCTTCCTGTTTCATTGAGGGGGCACATCTTAGTCACAGGCCCTCACCAGTCTGTGCCATTGTTCAGACCTTTCAACCCAGCTGCACAACACCGCTGTTGTGTTCTAGGTGCGTTTACCAGCCTGTTTGTAACCTGTGCTATTAACTGACCAGCGCCTTGAGCCTTTGATAATGGTAGTAATAGCCTGAATCTGCCAGCCTGAGGGAGTACGACGAAGAATACATTGAACCAACATTGAAGTGCCATTAAAGGAAAAGCTGAGTATTTTTCCCAGGCGGGTGTCTTATACTCCAGCAAAGCTGGAAAAGATTAAAGTGCAATCTTTGTGCTTGCTGCCTTGCATACAAGCACTGCATGCAGAGTGAGTGGATGTCAAGCTGTGATTCCCTTGTGAGAGGAGTGCATATATATAAATCACCTTGGCTTTGCAGATTTATATGGAGATAACCTACTCACTTCAGCGGGCTTCGTGATGATTTGGGATTGGGTTGTGGGAGCGGTATCAAGATGGGCGTGATGGACGCTATGTGACTACTTATCTAATCTGAATCATGACCTAGCCTTTCATGCAGAGTGTGAAAGTGACACAGAAGCAAGATGTAAAGGAAAAAGGAAGCTCTTTGGTTCCAGGTATGATCCATGTTAGCTACAATATAATCTATACTAACTATTAACCCAGCCTCACCTGGCTTTGAGGCTTCACTTGCTTCTCTCTGAAGTACAAAACATGCACTTTTGTTTTATAAATGCTACAGTGTACCAAGTTGAAGCTCTTTTTTACACACATGCAATCTCCATGCATGTGTGGCCATGGAATTGATATGCAAATTCAATAGCATGGCAGGTTTTACACAATGGATTTATGCATTGGGGTGGTGTTTTGTGATATGTGCCACATCGTGCAAGGCAATTCACTTAACACATGTCAGATAACCACTTTATAGCTATCTTTAGGAGCATTAAGTGAAAAGACAGGGCCCAAACTTACGTCTGACATATAGTTATTCCTCCTGATTCAAGTGGTCAGGAGATCTGAAATCTGCCCTTCTCTCTCTCTCCCTCATATTTGCCTGTCGTGCCACACACTGTCTATGTAAGCAAAAGATAATCACACAGTACATAAATTAGTGGAAAGTACTTTTACAAAAACGATGTTCAGAAGTATGGGAAGTAAAGAACACAGGTTCTAATGTAACAGAATTTCTGCAGTATGAAAAAGAAGTTAAATGGAAAAAACAACAAAACAAAACTAGAGAGACAGTGCTCTTTACACTTCTTTGATGGAGTTAGCAATATCATCAATAGACTGTTTCTTCTAGATTGCTACAAGCAATTCATAGACTTTTACTTCAAAAGCAATATAAAACCATAAGCACAGGATTATGATTTTTTAAGCCCATTGTGTGATTAAAGACCAATCACATGAAACACTGAACATGTAAGAAATATAACCCATGCTATTTTGCAGTGGACTGCCTGTGTAACCTATTTGACCATTATAAAATAATCTTGTGCCTGGTTATTTGTAAAACAAGTTATTTTTCTTTTTGACTTTGAAGAGCCGTGACTCATTGTTCCACATGCTGTTAGCCCTATGGCTCCATGTTTTCCATGTCAGAAAGTCAGGCTGAGAGAGACTTGAGAATTAACATGTGAGGATGTATTATCTGTGTAGAAACCACCTACAGTAAACAGCTTTGAAAAGAAATACTTGAGCACTGAATAAGACCCAATGCAATCCTAGAGTCTGCTTCCCTGCCCTAAATCTCCGGTTTCCACTGGTTTCAAAAAGCCAGATGAAACTTATAAGTGAAGGGCAATGGAAAAAATATTAAGGTACAAACGGCAATAAGTCAGACTTTCTTCATGCCACAAAGGTTACTGTAAACCTTGCACAAAATCTACTTGCAATGTTCAGAGGAGTATTTCTGAAAGATTTCCTTCAAAGCTTCTTCAGGAAAGGGTGACAGATCTCCCGTCCTTCACTGGGAAAGATTGTCCAACATCAAGACTGGCGCTGAGAAGGAAATTTTAAGGGACACAAGTTTTGCCATACGTAAAAAAACTGAATGTCATAAGAGAAAAAAGCCAGTGTTTTCCCTCAAACAATTTGACTGAACAATCTCAGTCTTTGGGGAAATGGAATGTTCCTACATTATATTCTATCTACACATCCTCCTCCTACAGTTTTCCCTGTCACTCTATTTCCATTGTGTCTATGTGAGAGCAATGTTAAGCATCAAAGTTATAAAAACGATTCTAGCTTCACAGCAACTCTAAATGCCTCTTTAGCATTTAATAAAAATTGTTTATTGGTTTGCAGTTTGTCTTATTTTTTTTCTTCTAAAACACTGTCTACATTTTGCAATCTGAAAACTTGCTTTCACCTACTCTGTTCCAGAAGAGAACAGCTTAATGGATCATTTGCTACACTGACAAATATTTTCTTTTTCTGCTGTCTTTATTTACATTGCCAGGCAGCAGTGATTACAGCAGCTACTCTTGTCTCTATTCCTTCACCGGGATATTCACAACACTTGTATTTTGTGAAGAAAAGCATCAACACGTATCTCTTACCTTCAAGCCATAAGACTGTCTCGAGCAGAGGTGCCAGTACTTTGTGTTGAATATATCCAAAACGCCACAACTCTCCACCGTGGCTTTTCTCGAGCTCTGCCAGGCTTTTGAGCAGACTGTTTGGTATTCGGTATTCACGCACAAGTAGAGGAGCCAAAGGGAAGCAAAATCACCTGCCTGACCCCTGAAAAGCGGGACTCACGCGGGTGGAACTCGCTGTGGTTAACCCCAAGCTGAGCGAGCAACTGCTAGAACTTCAAGAGCTCGGGGAGCTATCGGCTTCCTGGGAAGAGGCGACCTCGGAGCCAAGCTCTCCCGTGGTAACTCGCTGTCCGTTTCCTTCAGCACATGGCGGGCTGGGAAAGCAGCGGCTCCGACTCCATCTCCCGGCGCCCAGGTTTGGCTAGCCGGTAATCAGAGCCGCCCCTTCCTCCCACGGCGAGATCCCGACAACCTGTTTCCACCACGGCTCCCGTCGCTGCCCGCGATTTCCCGCGGCGCTTCCCTCTCTGCCTCGCCCGCTGGGGTTGGGGAGGGGGCGGTTGTGGGGGGAGCAAAGTTTCCTCCCCCGAATCCCACCGGGCAGAAATCTCGCTGCGGGGCCAAGGGTCCTCCGGCGGGGGCGGTGTCAGCACCGGGAGCGGACAGCGCCGGAGCGGGGAGCCGGGCGGCGGCGGGGTGGAGCGCGGCGGCGACCCCGGGGGTGCCGGCACGGGGGCGGCGGCTCCCGGAGAGCCCCGGGGACTGGCAGCGGCCCCCACCCCGAGGGAAATAAAAACCCGGGTAGAAATGAGCCTGTCCCCGGCCGGCTGCCCGGCCCTGCGCAGGAATGCCGGCCGCCCCGGGGGTGGCGGGCAGCCCCCGGTGGAAGGGGGGGCAGGCGGCCCGCAGGCTCGGCCCCCCCGCTCGCCAGGTGAGCGCTGCCCCTCAGGGTCGGGGGATGCCGGGCAGGCTTACGGGCTTACACCCTGCCCCTGCCTGTGCCCCGGTCTGCGCACTGCTGTCCGTCTTCGCAGGGAAAACACGAAACGACCCTCCAGAAGGGACAGGAGAGGAAAGGAAGGCAGGAATTCCTGAGGAAGGAAGCTGAGTGTAGTTGCTGTTTCCACTGTAAACAGCTTGTATACTTTCTTTGTAAAGAAACGGGTCAATGCCGGAGAGGGGCACCGCTCACTCACGTTCTTCCCCAGCAGAACAAGTCCCAGCACGGTCCTGTGTATTTGGTAACCCCCCAGGGTAAAATTCTCAACAGAGCTCCTGGTTTAACACTCTCTGTAATGGTAAATCGCTCTCTTTGCAATTCAAATACCACGAGAAACCCTTTCCTGAAAGGATGATGAAAATGCCGCTGCTGTTGCAGTATTTCACTATTCTCTTCTAGTTTAATATCCTTAATACTACTTAACTTTGAAAGCATTAGGAGTCCGTGATTTGAAGGGTGTTTCCTAAGGGAGTTGTTTGTTGTTGGGTTTTTTTTCCGGAAATGGCTTGATTCTCTTTTCTGAACACATTTTTCATATTACCAAATAACAGTAGACAAAGATCAAATGGAACAAAAACCATCTCTACGGTTAGCTTTTAAAAAGATTCAATTTCTGGAGGATTGCCTACAAAGAAGGGGATCTAGAAAACTGCTTGCAACCTCTTTTGACTGTGGAACCCTAACCATTTTACAGCTGAGCTACTGACCCCTTTAGGATATTGCATTCATGAATTGCTGGGAAATGTACATACACATGTCTTTCTGAGTCATCTTTAGTGATAAAGTCAAACCAAATTCTCTTGAACTTTCCAAGTGTTATTGAAATAGTTCCCTTTTTATTCAAGTAATGTTCCACTCTGAGTTCTGCAGTGCCAAGCCAGCCAAATGAATACTAGAGCTGCTGCCTTTAGCACAAAACCCAGAAACCATCACAGGAATTGCTGTGATGCTGCAGTAACCCGGAAGTATTCATCTGAAGCACTAAATGTTACTCAGTGTCAGTGTAGGAGGTATCAGATATTATTATTTTGGTATATCTAGAACACTGATTTCTCCTTGATGGCAGAACAGGAAAGTTTTAGTACATCTTATTTTTGCTTGCTTCACAATAAATACATTTATTTAATGAATGGACAACACTTCTTTCATGTGTTTATGCTTTCTTTGAGGCCCAGAAGAATCTCCTAGCCTCCTTGGGCTTCTAGTTGTGCCACAAGTATGCTTTCCATCCAGTCATCTGGAAGAAAATCAACAACAGTCCAAGTCAGGAAAACAGTAATTTAGTAGTTAAGAATCAGGTAAGCTATTTAACAGGTGACATCTGAGTCTCACTGAGTCTTTACCATATGCATAGGCCTTTTGATTTACAGTGAAGATGTATTTAACTGCTTGTAAGAGTCAGATCTCGTGTTTCTGCCACCACATTTTTCCAGTCCTCCTGAAGAAAATAGCTTTTATTCCGTCCACCAGAAAATCATGAATAAAAGCAATAGCTTCTCTGATGTAAGACAGTGTTACATATCACATCTCTCGCTTGGGCTAGAAATGCACCTGGTCTGTTAGTTTGCAGCATGAAGAACTACATCCTCAGCTGGTAAAAATTGCAAGAGACTTTAATCAGGCTGTGTAGCTGTCCTTATAAGTTTAAAGTGAGATTCATTTCCCTTGAATTTTGTATCAAGAATTTCAATAAATGCCCTAGAGTTAGATGAATCATGGGAGAGGATAAAGCACAATAACAAGAAAAATTGACGTATAAAAACCCCCCAACCCTGAACATGGAGCCAAAATAAAATGAAACTTCTAACGTATAACCTTCTTAAAAGAAGCAACTTTTTTTTTTTTTTTTGGTGATTGCTTGCTGAGGAAGCCTTGTGACTAGCTCCCTGGTTAGAGGCTGTTCAACAGCACCTCTCTGCAAGCAGACAATTGTGAAGAGTCATTACTGGTTAATATGGAGTAAATTCATCACTCCTAGGACATATTTCCACTTTGATTTTAAGGATAACCCTCTTAAAAAAAGCACTTTTTTTTTTTTTTTTTGGTGATTGCTTGCTGAGGAAGCCTTGTGACTAGCTCCCTGGTTAGAGGCTGTTCAACAGCACCTCTCTGCAAGCAGACAATTGTGAAGAGTCATTACTGGTTAATATGGAGTAAATTCATCACTCCTAGGACATATTTCCACTTTGATTTTAGGGATGTAACAAGTGGAGTTCAGTTCCTGGGGCAAATATCATGAGCGTTCTGCAGTAGTTCCTCAACATGTGTTCTCTCTTTTTGCTTCTTTAACAGAAAACTCAGTCATCTGAACAGCACTGGAAGTAGAATAAGATAAGACGCCTCCTGCACTGCACCATGCCCCTGAAAAAGAAAAATGGTCCCGAAATAGCAGCCATCAAGATCCTCAGGAGATAGCTTATCATTTTACTGTCCTGTCACATGCTGCTGGCGTGGAAAACTTTGAAGAAAAAGACAGTGTCTTTACCAACAACTTTCCTTCTCTGATGCAAGGAATAGTCTGCCACAAGTACAGACACAGAAATGTTCCTGACTCCTCTGGGGACAAGACAGAGGTTTTTTAGGGTCCAGTCCAGAACTGGAGGATGAGCTTCCCTGCAACTTTATCACAACTCTGTTGCTTTCTGTGTCACGATGATGTCTTTGGCTTTGACCTTCTGGCATCAACATTAAATAAATATAAAAATAAAGAAGATTTTCAGAGCAAACTACTTCAGTGTGTACAGTTCTTCCTCAAGCATAAAATAACCCCAAATCCCTTAACAGGAATCAGGTGATACAAGTACTTCACATACACTTCTAAATAGTGCTCAGATCTCATATAAGGCATGTCACACAAAATCCTAACTCAGAATAGTGCAGATCTCTCCTGGCTACAGTGCAGGAGTGGAGTTGCTAAGCATCTCACTCAAAACACTGGTTCTGCAGGCTCCTAAAAGAGGCCATCTTTCCAAGGGTCAACGCTACGCAGGTTGGGAGGAAAGTCGGAGAAATCCAGTAAGGAGCCCAGGCTATTAAAATCCAGCAACTCCTTTCTCTATGGCGCTTACAGCCCCCGGCAGCCAATATTGCACCCTATATTTAGCAACGGAAACCCCAGTCAGGGGCCAAAATGCCAGTTCCACTTCCTCTTGCACTGCCTAATTACAGTCCAGACTGCCATTCTGTCTTCATCTCCTCCCCAGCACCAGTCAGCAGCTAGACTATTTGCAGAAAGGTCAAGATGGATCCATGTGCAAATCTGAATGGAAGTTGGCAGGACTTCTCTCTCATCGTATGCGCAGTCCTCCTTCACAGAGGACTGCTGCAAAGTCATTCGGCTGGATGTTGTGCCACCTTTACTACAAATACATAGCATAGCACATTAGCATTTTTTTGCAGGAGATGCCTTCTCTCAGATTAGACGTATATCTGACTTCTGAATAAGAGACTCAAACCTCAGGAAGGCAGCTTAGTCATAATGAGCCTTATGAACTTGAATGCTCTGCATTTTTTAATTCCGTTCTGCCAAAACAAGTAACATTATCAGACTCTTACTTGAACTTGCTTCTAGTGCAGAGGGAGTCTTCGCTTCCATCACATAGAATTATTAGGGTCAGAATTAGCTTCTGGGAGATGATTAGCTCTGTGCCTTGCCCTGGTTCATGAAAGCTACTTAGTTCTCTCAGAGAAAGTACCCACTACTTGTTACAGACTCACCTTTAATTGCATAATATTAAATCAATCCTTGGGAAATTCAAGCTGTAGATATTGTTTTAACCAGCCACAGAGTTATAATGTGACAGGAAGTGTCCTCTCAAAAATGCTGTACTTCTGATAGAATGAGCTAGTAATACAGTGTAAAAATGATGGGCTGCCTCAGAAGTACCTCATCTGACATGATCTGGGGGTTTGCCCTGATGGTTTCTGAAGTACTTTCTGTGTTTCCTTTTCATTGTAATCTAACAGAACACACAGGAATATGAAGGAGCTGTAATTTGGAAGACAGCTTTTCCTGTGATGCAAACTAATGGAAATACTTTGGCGCTTACTCAATGCAGCACACTAACAGCCCATTAAATGCAGCTCAGTGATCGGCACAGCTCTTTCTTTTATTGCTGCAAATTCCAATGAATCATGTCACTCCAGATGACAGAACTGCCACCTTTGGGTCCCTGAGAGTCGATAGGAAGAGGGGCCACCCAGTGGGCCACCTTTGGAGCCTGTGCGTGTCAGGCAGCTGTGTAGTATTTCATGTTTCACCCAACTGCTGTGATCCTCCAAGTGTTGCGGTTGCTACATACCTGTTGCATTCTCAGTGCGTTTGAGTCCAGATCCAATCTAGTCACGCAACACTGGAAATGACTGAATTTGTGCAAGTTTAGGAAATCAATAGTCTTTTGCCTGAAATTTCTTCAGAAGCCAAGATGGATATTGATAGCTCTCTGGAAAGGAATTGAATTCTCATCTTCTTATATCTTTTCCAAAGATGGGCTAGGAGAATGCTAGTTTCTCCTGTGAATAAGGAGTCAATAAGGACTTCAAAATACTTTTTTCCAAAAGCAATGCACCAGAAAGTTCTAATATTAGAGGGAGAATTGGAAAAAGGGAGCTCTGACCTGTCTCTGC